TGATGAACCCTGCAGGAAGCTTCCTAGTTGTTCTTCATAAAAATGTCCTGAAAAATCCAAGTGCTTGAGTTGAGCTTCAGTTCAAAACTGAACAGTTACAGAATTTTACTTCCATCTTCTTTTGTCTATCCTTCTCATAGAGAAGAGAGAAAACCTTAGCAAAACAAATAAACGCAGATAAGGGGTCTGTGAAGAAGTGAGAACCATGGAGTTGCTGGAAATGAGTTTTTAGTGATTATTTTCCCAGTTCCCTCATTCTACAAATAAAGATGCAAGAGGCCCAGAAAAGGTGCCCAAGATGGCTCTCTGGGATCAACAGCTGGCAAGGGAGGAGCAGAGCTGGGTTAAGACTCCACATCCAGTATATGTTCCACTACCTCACCCTTCCCAGAGGGAGAATGTTAAAGAGGGTAAAAGAGAAGCTTGGAACTTTCCTCACGGGAGTAATCTATCCATAAGACAACAGTAAAAACAATCATGAAGTTGTCACCATCTTCCAAATGAGCCCTGTTTCCTGAGATTCAAGTAATTGTGACCACTTTGGAGTAAATTTGGAGAAACATTAATTCACTCCCTCCAAGGCACCGAAATAGATCGGAGGGTGCAGTACTTGGCATTGCATGGCTTCTAAGACAATTCCAGGGTGTGTCTTGGGCACTGGGGGGGCTGGAAGCCAACATTTAATATTTCTGTCTCAAATTACACTTGCAGGGGCCATGAACATCTCGCTTTCTAATTCCATTTCTCACAAAACAAGCCAACATCTGCCTTTTGTTATTTCTAACCCTCATTGTTTTTGAAGCACTCGTAGTACATTTGAGTAAAACTGCCTTGACAGAAACTGCCTGCCAGGGCCCAGGCACAGTCATCCCGTTGGCAGAAGGCTCACACTCTGCCTCTCCCTTCGTCCCCAACACAACCAGGGGTTTGTAAGCACTCAAGGGGCAGGATGCCACCTGAGGCTACTTGTGGGGTTTGCCCAAAAGGGAGGACTTCAAGCTCTCTGGGAATGGTGAAAAAGAAAGAGTGAACTGGGCAGGTTGTGGTGAGGGGCTCTTGTGGGATTGGGTGGGGACAAAGGCGAGAACCTCTTCCCCTTTCCTTTCACACATGACCAATTTTGTTATCTCTCTCTTCCTTCCGTTTTACATAAAGGAACTGTAAGAAGAGACAAAAAGACTCTTAAGGTATGTTTGGGGCTAGGGCAGAAATGGAAAAGTCCTTCAAAGATGATCTGGAATGAGTTCTCTCACATCCCACTGCTCCAAGGAGGACAGAAGGGAATGCTTAAAAGAAGGAGGGAAGGGCGGACTTGTTCTGCTTTGGTCACATGGAGATGGAAGAGGGTGGGGCCAGCCCCGTGGCTGAGTGGTTGAGTTCATGCACTCCACTGCAGCAGCCTAGGGTTTAGCTGGTTTGGATCCTGGGTGCCGACATGGCACTGCTCATCAGGCCACGCTGAGGCGGTGTCCCACATAGCACAACCAGAAGGACCTACAACTAGAATATACAACTATGTACTGGGGGGCTTTGGGGAGAAGAATAAAAAAGAAGGTTGGCAACAGATATCAGCTCAGGTGCCAATCTTTAAAAAAAGAAAAAATGAAAGAGGGATTTAGGAGATGGGAGGAGGGCCTTCAGGGAGCAGGGCTTCAAATCATGACTCCTCACCAAGAGTTTGGTGAATCTTTCTAAGATATAACACAGCGGCCCCTTTATGAAGGAGATCATTTAGGTCACATTTTAAATCTATCTTTTATTCACTCACATCAATCCACGTTCCTTTGAAACAAGTGAGTCATAGTTGCTGGCTGGAGTCACAGGGAAACTGAGGCTTTGGGGTACCACTGACATAAATAAGCATACACCCCTCCCCCCCAGACGCACAAGGAGTTGTAGAAAGTTCCTTCTTGAAATTCTTATGTCAACTTCACAAATCCAATCTCATTCAGGACACATGGGGACAAAGGGTAATGCAGATAATAGCAAATAAGAAATCAAAGTTGGAATATTAGAATTAAAATTGTGTGTCTGTTGATTTCTCACTCCATGACCTTCGTTGAGTGGCCTGAGCTCTCCAAGGCTCAGTTTCCTCACCCATACATTAGAGAATTTGTGGAATTTAGTTGGGAATCAAATAACCTTAGATGAAAGCACTGTGAGGATGCTTAATAACTAGAAAAGACGATTCAAACAAGAGGGTCGTCGTCACTGCCCCGCCAGTTGCTGACCACTCCTCAGGGGTCAGTTCTCTCCCAGGAAAGAACAGGGAGTCCTTGCACTGATTTTTTAAATTCTATGAAACATGACCTCATTGTGAAATCTTGAACAAACAGAAGCTTTTCCACTCTTTTAATTGAAAACATTGCGAAAATGTTCACTTGGCCCGTTTTCTTGCCTTATTAAGTAGCATACAAAGGACAGAACAGAGTCTTGATTTCAGCACTTTCAGAACCCCCAACATCACTGCCTGGCACCAGAGATGTGAATGTGGAAGAGGATATTTCACTGGGAAAGAAGCAGAGAACATCCTGGTGCCCAGGGAGGCCAGGGTACATCCTCCAGTTCATCAGTCTGTCTGGAATGGAGGCTGTACCAGCTAAGACTGTGCCGAGAGCTTTTTACCATCCAGACCTGCTCCTCTGGCAGTCCGCTCACACTCAGTTGATGGCAACGCATTCTTCTGTTTGCTCAGGTCTGAGCCTCTGGGGTCCTCTTTGATTTCTCTCTCACGCATTCACTCCACCAGCAAATCCCACAGGCTTTGCCATCACCTTATCCAAGAATCCCGCTTCTCTCCCCCACTTCACTGCCGCCACTCTGCTCTAAGCTGCCCTCATTTCTCCACAGATTATTTCAGAAGCCTCCTTGCTTCTGCCCCCATCTCAGCATGGCAGCCAGAGAGAGCCTGTTGAAGCATAAGTCAGATCCTGTCACTCCTCTGTTCAAACTCCAGTGGCTCACCACTTTACCCAGAATAGAAGCCAAAGTCCTTACGAGGATCTACAAGATCCTACACATTGTGGCTCCTCATTTTTTCTCTGTCTCATCTCAATACTCTTACTCTTTCCCAAACTCTTCATTGTTCCTTAAACAAACCAAGTACTCTCCTGTCTCAGGGTCTTTGTACTTGCTGCTCCTTTTCTTGGAATGCTCTTCTCCTGGACACCTGCAAGCTTGGCTCCCTCATCTCCTTTTGGTCTGTATTCAAATGTCATTTTCTCAATGAAACCTTTCCTGGCTACCCTGTCTAAAACAGTAACTTCTTCTCCACTCCAATCCTTCCTGCCACAAACTTCCTATAACTCTTTTTTTGCTTTATTTTTCTATTAGCATTTATGATTATCTAATATATTATACACTTGGCTCATTGTTTTGACTTTCTCCCCTACTAGAACATAAGCTCCACAAGGGTAGGGAGATTACATTTTGTCTGGAGTAGTGCCTAGCAGAAAGTAAGTACTCCATAAATAATTTTTGAATGGATGAATGAAGTGACCTCAAAAAACCCCTGACCACAGTGTTTGAACAGAGAGTTGATTAGAAGTTCTGATCAGGCAGGCTAGAGTTCTATAACAGAGCCATCAGGGACCTAGTTTCATTCCATGTTTCCATTTCACCATCCTTAACCCATAGCTCTTCATCTACAACCTTTTTGCCTCACGGTTGCAAAATGGCTGCTGCGCCACCAGACAACACTGGTGGTGTTCTGCTTTTATCTTTCCAAATCAGAAAGGAAATGGCGTAGAAATAGGAAATGGCAGGGTTAGGAAAGCAAAAACATTCCCAGAAACCCTAAGTTATATATCATTAACCAGAACTTTGTTTCATGGCCATCCCTAGCTGCAACACCAAATGAACACTGGGGTTTTCAGCGAGGAAGAAAGAGGAATGGACGCAGGGCAGGCAGCTTGGAGCATCAGCCGTAGAGCTTAAGACTCTGTCATGCTTCAATATCAGCTCATGCTTCTTTGCTCAGACAGGATGGGAAGGGGCTTATGGGAAGGGCTCAAGGCAAGCTGAAGCATGTGGAGGAGGCCTTAGATCAGACTGTTGCTAGAAATTCAGTCCTAATCTGGGAGAGGACCTATGGAGTGGAACATTAAAACACTCCAGCAGCATGTTCCCACCTTGGGGATGAAGCTGACCAGAGAGGATAATGGAAATGTACAGAAAGAAAAAGATGCATGCAGTCGAGGAGAAAGTCCCAGAAGTTTTCAAGTCTTTGCTTCCAGGTGTTATGGGGGTCTCGCTACAAGGTTTTCTAGCCATGGTGATGGTGATACTTTTATTGCATGCCTTGACATAAATAAGAGACCTGTGAGTCCACTCTTGGCTCACTGTCCCATCTAAACCAGAGGTTCTCAATGAGGTAGAGTCAGCAGGGGAGGTTTGGCAACTTAATGCTGTGTGCTTCTTCAAACGCCTCCACCACAATTGCACAGAGAGGGCCCATGGAACCTCCGGCGCAAACCCTCTCCCTTTTCCCTCAAGCCCTGAATATTTTTAAACATCTCAGCAGGTGATTCTGTTACCCAACCCCCTTGCGTCCCTCTGTTCTAAACCCAAAGGCAAAAGATTTGGTGCAGAGGGGAAAGGCCATCCGCGTGAATAACAAAATGGGATCACTGCACCCGGAGTGATGCAGAGTCCCTGTGTGAGGAGCTATGTAGAAAACAGATGCTGCTGTGTCTGAGCATCCTCATATTCTCGCATTCAAATACCCCCAACACCGTGCGGTCGTCAGAGGGGTGAGGAAGGTGAGAAGGGAGAGATCTGTCCTGCTCCTTTTTCTCAGAAAGCCAGCCTCAGGAACCTGGGGTGTGGCTGCCTTACAGTGTGACTGTTCACGCCCAGCTAGCCACCAACCGTCCTCCTGCCCCAGCTCCCAGGCAAAGCCCTTGTCCTGCAGCTGTGCGCTGCTTGCCAGCCGGAGGGTCCGCCAGGGAATGGGCTGTGCGCAGACGCAGAGCATTGCTATCAGAGGGCCTGAACACTAACGCGAGCTGCAGACCTTGGGGTACCAAAGCAGTCTTTGGACTTATTTATTCAGCTCCTTTTTCTTTTCTGGACGGACTGCGAAACAGGATCTGATCCCTTCAGCACTCTGGTACGAAAGGTCCACAGCTCTTCTGGAGAGAAAGAGAGATCTATGCTGTTCCTCTGCTATAATTATGACATCATGAAGCCCGGAGAACCTCAGGCTCCTTTCCCCAAGTGTCCTGGAAATGCTGAGAATGGAGATGGAACCCCAATTTCTCCGCCAACTCAGAGGCCATTGCTTAGGCTGCCCTGGGAGACTTGCTTGTCTTTGAAACCATGAGCCTCTTATGGACAAGAGAAGCCCTGTGTTTGTGTTGGTTTGGTGGGAGGGGAAGATGGTGGGAACCCACACATGTGGCTGAAAAGTGCTGTGACATCTGAAAACCTTGAGAAAGCTCTCAAAATCTGTTACAAAAGGGGTGGTGGAAAGTTCTGGACATTTGACTTAAGAGAAAAGATCTGGGGCATCTGATAGGGTATTTCAAATATTTGAGGGATAAATTAGGCATGTTCTTCAAAGTATCGGCAGGAAGAGCAAGGGAGAAGTTGTAAAAAGTTACATAATTTTTTCCTGTTTTTCTTTTAATCAGCACGAGCTTTAACACAATGGAACCAGCTTATTCTTGAGGTAGTGAGTTTCCTGTCTCTGGATGTATTTAAGCAAAGACTGAACAGTCACCTAGCAGGCATGTTGTTGACTGGACTTTTCATGGGGTGGAGGCATAGACTCGATGGCCTCTTCCAACTTTGAGAGTCCTTAAACCTCTGATATCCCCTTTGCTTGTATGAGTCAGTGCCTAAATGTCCACCACTGCAGAAGGCAAATCTCTCTCTTTCTCAAATTACTCTTGAGGGAGCAAATGCTAACAATTCTCACTGGAGTGTTAATGCCTCAAAAGGTTTTCTCTTCTGAAAGTGGTCATGATTAGGGGAGCTTGGCTGGGCTTCAGCTCACTCCTAGCTCAGTCAACTCTTCCAAATTAGCTAACCGTCTCAGTGAAGCCAGTGTGGTTACTCTGCAGGCCAGCTTTAAGACAAATTCTCTAGTTCTGAAAAACAGATTCCCAAGGCCTCTGATGCAATACTGATTCAATAGGTCTGAGGTAGGATTATAAAAATGTTTCCAGGTGATTCTGAGGGTCAGCCTGATTTGGGAACACTTTGCTAAGCTTTGCCTCAACCCAATGCCCAAGGAGCAAGTGGGAGGATTATTCTGACCTCAGTCTGTCAAGCTTGTAGATTTCCATGGGATGCTCTTGTTCTGATCCAGGTATTTGCCCATCCCTGGAGAGCTGCCTCTGTCTTCTGCTCCAATGAGTCCCAGACCCACTGGCCACTGGCATCTTACCTTTCTCATGGTGTTTGATGGCCAGCACTCTTCCATCCTGACTACATTCCTCCTCCACCTTCCTCACCCAGGCTGTACCTTTTTGGACTCCTCATTTCAATAGGTGCTATAACCCCCATGAGGAGGGCTAAACTTTTTCAACTATTTATGCATAATTTTCACCTGGGATTTGAACCCAATGTTCGTGTTTCACTATATGGTCCTGGTTTGTTTGTGTATCCTCCCACCAGACCCTACCGTCCTTTATTTCCTCAGGGGCCGGAACTGTACCTTTCTTCTTAGGATTTTCCACGTCTAGCACAAAACTAGGTACAAACCATGTACCTAGGAAAGAAGGAAGGAGGGAGGGTGGATATGCTTGTTCCAAGGATTATATCTAGTTTCAACAAAGATTGCTTGAGTATTGTGCAGAAATGCAAGTGACAGACACAGTTGGGAGTGGGGCTGGACATGTGTGTGAAATGTGTAGGGAGTAGGGACTCTGAGCGTTACTAATTTTTTCTGTCTTATCAGGGTTAAGGCACCATTGTGCTGAGAGCACAACTCACCACTGTCGCCTGCCCTCAGCCTCTCCCAACGTAAGTTTTCAAGTTTTTCTACTGCTCCTCATAAAGATAGCCAGCTATCCTGCCTGCACAGTTTTCTAAAGTCAGTCACTGACACTTTTTTTTTTAGCAAAAACCACGAGTACCTCGAGACAAATACATTATGGAGACAACTGTCATCACAACCACATGTGGTATTATTTACTCAAGTCAGTTTGAATGATTAATGTGGAAAAGTGGCCGGGCAGCTAATGAGATTGAGGGCCGTGTAGAACAATTTCTATGTGATTTTAAACAATGCCCACTCTGTCCGTGGAGAGTCACAGAAACATGAATAGCTGGCGCGGCTGCCTCCTCTCTCTGCTGACTCCCTGTCTCAGCTGGGTCCTCCCAGCACACTCCCTACTCCCAGAGACTCCAAATTTTCCATCTGCAGCCAAGGAAGAGAAAGCAAGGACCCTTTCTATTTCAGCAGCCTGGAGCTGTGGGCAGTGGCGGCCATCTGGCTGACGTCATTGGTGACTCCTCAGACAGCCAGAGGACAGATGAGACTTAGGGGGCCTTGCGAGAGAGTGAGGATTGTTGGCCGCTCTTTGCCTTCTTTAATGAGTGGCTGCGTAGACAAGGTTATAAACCAAATGATGCTTCATTCTTCAGAGAAACAGCATGGAAGTGGAAGAGTTTGAAAAAGAACAAGGTGCTACAAACAAGTCAGGAATTTGTTCTGCAGGCCTGTCAAGTCTATAAATATCTAGAATCCTGCTTACCAAGTATTGGTGTGAGGTATGTCTCCAGGTAATAAGAATTTTCTGTGTTCTTTTCTTTGTGGAAATCCTGAGAGACCACACAATAAAACAGTTTATCAGCATCCTTTGTTAGTACTCGTCCTATGATTATTACTGTTATCTCCATGTTACTGAGAGCGCGGCATTGAGAACTTGCTAGAGCCGTCCTAAATGTCTTGAATGTATTGTCTTGTTTAAATCTCAGGGTTGATGATGAAACCGATGCTCACAGAGTTGAAATAAGCTGCTGAAGGTCATGCAGTGGTAAGTGACCAGTTGGACTGGAATCCAGGGCTGTCTGACTCCAGAACCGGAGTTCGGCCATCACACATCCGCCTTGAGTATTACCTCCTTTCATTCCATTCTTTTGGTTTTGTGGTGTGCGTGGGAGGATGGGGCTTAGTGTTAGGAGAGGAAAGTAGAGGAAGGAGGAAGTGGCAGAGGCCAGCCTCCTTTAGACTGCCTACCACAGGGTGACGAGCAGGCCCAGGAGTGGGGCTGGTGGGGCTGGGGGTGGGGCAATGGGCAGGCTGGCCAGCAAACAGATGAGAAAATGAAAAGAAACTGTGGCTTTCTCCTTCTGGGTTATGAATCATGGCGCCAATCTCAGCAGCTTTGGTTGGGGAGTATTCTTTTCCATGACGTCACCTCAGCTTGGAGGCATGAGTTGTCTAGCATATAAGATACAAGGTAGATTCAGAAAAGCTGAGAACTCTGAATTTCTCCTGGAAATGTCACTACCCTGATCCCTGTTGAGACGTTCTCTAACACTTTAAAAGAGATCTCATGCAAACATGAGTCACATAATGTGCGCATTTGGCCATGGCTGGGATCCTACTGGGGTCCTCGTCCAGTCACAGTATTCAGATGGCTGTCAAGCTTCTCATCACACCTGCAGGATAATCCTTGTGAATAATGAGAGGCCGTCTGAGGAGTGCTGACACCACTGGTCCTTGTGTGTGTGGTTTGTGATACTAATGTCAGACAAGACCCGAAATCAGATTCAGTACCTTATTTGCCTGTTATACAAAAAAAGCTATGTTTTTCCTGCCAGGAGCCAGCAAGAAACAAACAGACTATCATTCTGTTTGAGACGTTCATAAAAATGTTCAAGCAGAAATGCAAATGAAAAGCAGAATGAAGCAGCAATGTTAAATCTAAACATGTAATCTCTTTATTACTTGAGACACTAATTCATACTATTAATTTCTTTTATTTTAGACTCTTTTTGTAAATTCCTGTTTCCTTCTTGTTTTGACTTCTTAGTCATGTTTGACCCAGAACACTCTCATACCACCGTTACATCAATATTTTGCTGTCTTTGTCCTGCTTTAGGAGATAGGTGTGGGAATAAATATACCTTATAAAAAGAGAAATTATTTTGCGATTATTCCTTTTCACTAAAATGTCTGGCTAGAGCTACCTGATTTAACTTCATTATTTTTTACATCACCTGACTTGAAGAGAGCCCTGGTGACAGGATCTAGATGGTAAGAAATGGAAGCATAAGTGTACACTGGAATCTCCAAAGTACCAGCCATAACATCAGTTGAGCCGGCTTCCCAGACTCTTTACTCTTGGTAAAGTTTTTAACAAAATTTTAATTAATAATGTGGCCACATCTATTAATGTCAATGATCCATTTCGATTGATAGTGAAGCTCCTTTCAGACTAACTCTACCACAATATCTTGTACCCATAACTTGGATACCGTGTTTCTCAAAAGATATTCTTGCAAGAGAATCGCCCAGAGTGCTGATCACAATGCACATGCCCGGTGCCCAGTCTAAAGCTGTTCAATAAGACTCTCTGGAGATGGGCCCAGGGATACACACTTTTAAAATAAACTCTGTAGGTGATTCTTGGGCATACTGAAATTGAAAACCACTGGTTTAGAGTTCAGGTAACTTGAGCAACACATTTGTAGTCTGCATAGTCAATGTTAGTGATTAGGAAAGGTTCAGAAGTCCTGAGAACTGGTGTTCGTCTGTTCACTGAGTCAGCGAGCCTTTATCGAATACATCTGCTAGTCAGTGTTGGCCTGGGAAGACCAGGGTGGGTTCTCTAAAGGCCTTATTTCCTTTTTCTTTGGAATGGGGACAGGCGTCTAGGGCAGTGGTCCTCAAACCAGCGTGCACATCAACATCATGCGGAGCTGGATAAGAATGGATAGTCTCTCCCTACACACACACACAAGCACACATATGCACACACATGCACACACATGCCTACACATAGAAACACATACGCACGTACCCATCTGGGATGAAGATCGGGCCCCTAAATCTTTGAAATAGTGATTCTGACACCCAGCCAGCATTGAAGAACCACTTTATTAGAGAAACTCTGTGAACCAAAACACCGAACGGGCAGATTTTTATGGGGAAAGACTTTTCAACAATTGTGGCAAAAACTTACTGCCATAGCTTCATTTTGAGCACGACCATTCATAGATCCTTTGAAGGTAGTATCGGTCTTAAACAAAACCAAGTAAGACTGGTGGGAGAGTCCTTTCAGGAGAGGTCACTATAAGCCACAGGCTATCGAAGCACTGATCAGGGCATGTTTGAAAGATAATTAGAGTATCTGTTCAGCTGGATGCAAGAGATAGAGATGGTCACATTTTGGTTGGCATAAAAATGCTACCATCGTAATGATTTAACTGAATATCCCTCATGCCCCTGGCACTACACTTGGAATTATCCACATTCACAAAATGGAAATAATTGCATCACATATAGTAGTAAATTTTAATCAAACTTCTTAATAGAATTATCGGTTCAGTGAAGTATAAAGTTTTCAAGCTTTTTTTGCCCCTGGAAACTTTGGAAAACATAGGGAAAAAAATCATAGAGTCTTACCATCCAGAAATGATCAAAATGAGTATCTTCAGAGATAACTATTTTTCTCTCATTAACGTTATGATCATTTTTCATTTTATTAAAAATTATGCCTGAAAATTACACTCAAATGGTTTATCAGGGAGTGAGGGAGAGAGAATGAGATAAAGCCTAGGTGAAGAGTATGCTGGCGTTCATGATACTGTTCTTTCAGCGTCTTGGTAGTTTGGAAATTTTCCAAAATAAAAAGTTAGGAGAAAATGCCACTTTAAGAAGTAAGAGGCTAAAGGGTGAATTATTCTAAACATCATGTAGTTAAGGTCTAAAACTGAAGATCATTGTTAAATACTTAGTTACCTACCAAATCAAAAGGTTCTAATCTATTAGGACTTAGTGGAAAAAATTAACTGTAGGAATTATGATTCTAAATTTTTATCAGTATAAGAGCTGTGGAGAGTCTTCTTATTTGTGTCTACCATCCACTGACATTTACAATGAATTAAAAGACAGCCATGCTTTCAAATGTATGTCACCAAATAATGGTGCCTAGCACTGGGATCAAAATAGGGCAGGCCAAAATGCTTTTAAATACAAGGCTCATCTGGGTGCACGCTTAATAAAGCCAGTGGGGCACATGCGTGAGCACGTGCACACACATGCACACACACTTTCGATAGAAATATGTTTTTTTCCCAATAGTTACACTTTAAATCCTTTCTGGAATTAGATAAAATGTACGTAGATAGCTCACATTTTAATTAATCATCCTACTATTGTTGTTCAAGTTGATGGGGTACGATTCTTGGTTTCATAAGGAATACCATGTTGATTTTTTTCTGATTTTGGCATTTCCTTAGCACACACATCTAGAAATGAATACTTCATGCAGTAACTTCTCTGAAAGTTGAGTCTGAAAGTATTGCTTTGCCCACTCTCAATGACAAAGACAAAGAGGGAGTCACTGGGGAAGCGTGTATGGGTCTTTAAGCAAGACTCTGACCCCAACCCATGGGATTGTTGGTCGGCATAGAGGTAAGCCGCTATGACAAAGGGACCCCGCAATACCGTGGTTTAAATCAGATGGAAATTTACTTCTCTCTCACTTTACCTCTCAGAAAGGAATGATTCAGAGTTGATGGGCAGGCTCTGACATTCTTAACACATGGCTTCCATTTCTGGGTTCAAGGTGACTACTCCATTCTCTTTGCTTTACAGACAATGGGAAGAAGGAAATAACCTGAGAGAGTGCACACCAATCATTTCAACGGCAAAATCCAAAAGTGGCACACATCGTTTCAGATCCCATCCCATTGGTTGGGACATAGTCACTGGTTTCACATAGCTGCAAGAAAGGATGGAAAATGAAGTCGTTACCTGGACAGCTGAGCTATGTGCTCAGCTAAAACTGAGAAAAGGGATTTGGGGGCACAATTAGCAATCTGCCACAGCCTCCAATGAAGGTCTTGGAATCCAGAAGGTTGGCAATCCAGAAGAGCATTGTACAGCTGCCCCTTCATTCTATAATTCCTGTCTCACTCAACTTTGAGCCTTTGAGATGTCAGCATTGGAAACGTTAGAGTCAGATAGTGAAAGCTTTGCTAATTTGACAAGGAATGAAGGTTCATTAAACTTCTAAATGTGGCATTTTTATAGGTTATGGCCAAACTGAAGTTGGCCAAGCGTGAATATCATTAGCTGCAGTTTTGTTTGTACTCCATAGTATGTTGTTCCTCTCTCTCTCTCTCTCCCTCCCTCTCCTTATCTACATTTTCTTTCTGTTTTTGGGACTCTCCTTTTTGCATCGATAGGTACTCAAGAAAAAAATTCAGGGTTTCAGTTGGAAAAAACAAGTTTTAAAGTAGAATTTTCAACAAGACGCCTAATGAACGGTGGTCTATTCGCACAGCTGAACACCCTACTCACAAATCTCTTTCTCTTATAGATTTGTGAGGAACAGGAGGTTATATTCTCTGCATGGGATTTTGCTTCTGGGCTAGGGTTGACTGCAAGTTTATTGGAATGAGCACTACGTTTTGTTTTGTTTTCACCATAAGGGACTTCTGCAAGGAGCCCCAGTGCTCATCACGTGCTGTGAGGAAAATGGAGAGAGTTTGCAGAACAGTTCTCTCCCTTCATTCAAAATTAGGTTCAAGCTGAGAACCGCTGGTGATTTTTCAAGTCCTGTTTTGGATGAAATAAGCAGACATGTTTGAATTAATTAATGTTGTAAGGCGACTCTTAGCACTGAGACTGAGCTAGTGCCTGATAGAAGGAGCGCTGAGCCAGGAATCACAAAACCCCTGTCCTAGCCTTGGCATCGCCACCAACTCCTTGTGGGACCATGAACAAATCGCCAACATTTCTGTGCCTTCGTTCCCCACTTACATAAATACAGAGATATTTGCACTTCTAGAAGAAGAATGGTTGTGTCGATACTCTGGTGTGACTTTGTTATGATAACACAGGAAGACTGAGGTGCAGTGGGCCCTTGCGAATCATCCTCCCCTCCATGAACCAGGTGGAATAGACCATTCCCTTCTCAGAGACCCCTGGACCCTACATCCTAGTACCCTATACTATAAGTCCTGCAATATTTGGTGGCTTATATTTTATTTATGGGTCTGCTTTCCCATGGGCTTCTTAAAGAGTGTGCATTTCTCATTTGATCGCTACAGTGCCTACTACTGTGGTTGGCACTTGATATTGGATAAATGAATGAAATAAAGCACACCCAAAGTTAGATGGCTGGTCAGGGGCTGGTTAGTGGCTGGTTAGGGCTGGGTCAAGTCTGGTTACTCCCAGACCAGTCTTTTGCATATTTGACCTCTCCCTACTCTCAAGAATAAGGGTGAAATAGGACATCAAACGTAAGAAGTGCTCACGCTCTGGAGATTCTGGTGCAGGAGAGGAGTGGTTTCCTCTGCTCAGGCTTGTTCTGCTATTTCAGCCTCTTGGTCCTTAATGACGGTTTATTCTCATAGCACACTTCTCTCTCTCTTTTACCTCAAGAATCTCTGCTTGGGATAGAGGTGGGCAGAGGTTGGGCAGAGGTGCCTCAAGCCAAACCAAGGAGGAAGATATTGCACTGGGGCTCAGAGTACTTCAGAGGAGCTTTTGATGTCGAAATCCAAAGCGCACGATATCTGCTCTCCAGGGTGAGGGCTAACATCATCTCTCCAAGATGAGGCTTGCAGCAGCTGCCCTAAGAAGGCAGAATGTCTCACACCCTCGGAATTAGACACTAGACACCAAGAGGCCTATGGCTGGGGCTGTCTCTCAGGTCTTCACCTGACACTGCTCTGTCTGCTTAAGAATGGGCTCCATGGGGGCCGGCCCATGGCTGAGTGGTTAAAGTTCCTCACACTCTGCTTCTGCAGCCCAGGTTCCCGGGTTCAGATCCCAGGTGCAGACCTACTCCACTCATCAGCCATGCTGTGGAAGCATCCCACATACAAAAAGTAGAGGAAGATTGGTGCAGATGTTATCTCAGGGCCAATCCTCCTCACCAACAAAACAAAAAGAAGAAGAAGAAGAAGAAGAAGAAGAAGAAAAAGAATGGGGTTCATGCTCTGGTAGTCAAAATAAGCACGCAAGACAGGGAAGGACAGAGGCCAGAGCCTCAAGAGGTCCTGAAAGGGGCTGCTTTTAGCACATGGAGGGGAATGAGAACCAAAGCCACAGCAACAGGCATAGGAGGAAGGAAGGCTGCTGTGGGGTCACTGGGAGAAAGGCTTCCTGCCATTGTCTGGCCACACGGGGTGGGTTGCAAATAAAAATAGGTGGAATTCGAAGACTGCTTGTGTGCATCTGGAGTCAGCTCCATGCAGAGAATCCATTTGTGCTGTGATTGGGGGCCGTGCAGAAATGACTCAGGGCATTTTAGCCCTGTGCATATGGGATTCGGAGATCGGCAGAGACCCAAGGAGAGAGATTGATAAACTCCAACCACACTCTGAGCCGTCGAAAGAAGAGTTGCTCAGCCTGTGAGTCCTAGCCAGCGATGTTTGATAGAACAGAGAACCACGCAATACAAAACACTAGAGTCTGACACAACACCGAGGGCCAGGCACGGAGGCCTCAATGTGCTGTTTCATCCAAGCTGCACAGGGGCAGAAAGCCAGGTTCTGAAGGATTCTTAGGTTCTCATTCTTCTTGCCTAAGATTTATTGATAGTTTAGAGATGGCTATTTGGGGATCTTGTATTCCCTGGCACCTTTTTTCTCTTTATTTAAAATTTTTTTTAATTTTCTATTATGGAAAATGTCAACTATGTATACAAAAATAAACATCATAATCTAATGGACCCCTATGTTCCCATCAACCACCTTCAACAATTATCAACCCATGGCCACACTTGTTTCATCGGTACCCTCATCTACTTTCTCCATATCACTTGGAAAAAAATTAAGACATCATATAATTTCATCTAAAATATTTCATGTTATATTTCTAAAACATAAGGACTCTTTATAAAAAAACATAGCTATTCCATTATGATGCCTAAAAAAAATTAGGATTCTGTAATGTCATCAAATATACAGTAAGTGTTCAAATTTCCAATTCCTTACGTCTAACCATGTCTTCCTCATAGTTCCCCTCAGACTCACTCCATCCCCCATCCAGAGAGAAAATCAAGGCAGACTTATCATGCAAAGAAAGAAGCTCTGATGCCCTGGCCCTTTTGTTTCCACCCTATAGTAATGGAACAAACACGTGGTGTGCCAGGAACAGAGAAGGCAACCCCCAAATTGGAAGCAAGCACATTGGCAACATAAAGAGAAAGTAACTGACAAATCCCTAATTCTGGAAGATACCCAGAGAGGCTGGGCCTGGAGCCAGGAGCTTAACAAGTTTCCATTGTTATTGGCAGCCGACAAATTTAGAAGCAGACAGGGGACCTTCTTATCACGGGGAATTTTGTTAGCTGAGGCTGTATGCATTTAAAAAGCACAATCAACCTGTAGTGAGCTAAGGGATTAAACATGATTTTTCTCAACTTGAATGACCCCTCTCCCTAAATTAAGCTGCCTATTTAGCGCCCTTAATAAATACATAGATAATTTAAACCATGTGGCAGCAAATTGAAAACACGGGCTTTTTGAACTATGTATTTTCTTTCTCATGTTGGAACATTTCCCTTGAGAAAATCTCAGGTCTCATGATTATGGAAAAGAAAAGATCTGTATATCTTTCTGATTAAGTGTTTCATGATACACACATACACGTTGATCAAGTTTTTTCTTCTTTCTTGGCTAAAGTGAAGCATATGCTTCTGACAAAAGTGTTCCATCGACACTTCTTTGGCCGCTGCACGGTCTATTTGTCAACAAAACAAAATGTGAAAGGATTATATTTCTGTAAAAGTAATTACATTTCAAAGTGGCTTGTTGTGATATACCATGTGGCATTACGTTGACCCAAGATGCTGTTTTCTGCCCAGTTGTTAGAAGTAATGATCTGTACTTACAAGTCGGTAAAATATTCAACTATGTATCTTCTCTGGTGCTTGATTGGGGACAATAATATTCCTTGCTGGACTACCTGGAGGTTTGAACTGAATGCTCTGACATGCCCGTTTTCAGATATTTATACTCACCTACTAATTTAAAATACAGTCTACACACACATACACACACACACACAAATATTTACTTTAACATTAGGAATCTTGATTTGGATCAAAAAACATTATAAGGTGACAAAGATATTCTTTATAATTTCTGTATGATTTCCCCCTCTCCTTGAATTAATGAGTCGCATCAAAGAGTGTCTCAACTTTTAGAAGCTTTGTTACAATTTGGTTTGACCTCTTTTATGTATGTCCAAAAAAAAGGCCCATAAGCAGTTTTCCGTGCTCATGGGCCCATGGGATTTATCTGGTCTCTTCATCTTCTCTGTGGTCAGAGTATTTTCTGAGACAGTCTTCACCACAAATTCTCTAGAGATAAAGTCTGCAGCTTCCCTTCCGATTCCCAGCTTGTGACCCTGCCCATTATCAAGCAACGAGTCTGAGACAAAATTAGATAGTAAGTCAAATCTTGAAATTCCAATTTTAAACTGTATTGACTTTCTCCTGCTACAGATGTGACAAATGAAAGTATCCTATCAGTAGACCATTCTCGGCTTCTGCTAAGACACCCAGGATATTTCAAGAAGGGGAGATTCCGCCACCCAAAGGTGGGGTGGGGTGGGGAATATTCACATAGGCAAATTTCATCTGGTTAAAACTTTTTGTTTTCTCTTGAAAGATGAACATCGAAAAACAAGTCTTCAAGGCCAGACTTTATCAGGACACAAAAGCCTAATTGTCTGATAAAGCATGTGCAGACACAAGAACGCTGGCCTTTGAGTCCATTAAATAGTAACATGCCATGGGGCTGGCACCCCCATTTGAATTAGTTCTCTGAGTGTCCACTGCCTGACTTCTCTGCGCTGACTGTCTGATGTCGGGAATCAATGGTATCATTTGAAGGAGCCAGTCTTTCAGATGGAAGCATGAAAGCTTCTTAGGAAGCCTTTATACTGTATTAGTTTGTAAATCTAAATATTGCATGCAGTTCTTGGTTCAACAATGCTCCTCTTTCTCTATAATTTACTGAAACTAATTGGATACAGGACACAGCTAGCTGGTGGGCAAGTTGAGATGTTTCAGCTAGCTTCTGAGGCAGTACATGGCAGAAGAAAGCAAAACTCCTTGGCCTAATTTCTTAACGATGCGATTAGTGCGTATCTCTGCAAGGAGTTATTTAACTGAAACGGGCATAGAGATTGGTCTTTACAAATTATTCAGAAGTTATTTAGAAAGAAATAATCTGTAAAGTATTCATTTTAGAGATTATCTGAACAGTTGAAAACTAAGAGGCTATGTATAGCTACTATACTGTCTCATGTTTTTACTTTACCAGGATTACAGAAAAGATAGATTTATTAGAAGCAAAATGACTGTTTGTGATGATTTTGGTGTTGGATCTAGTGTTACTTATATAATCACAAATGCAGATGATTATTCTCTTCATTTTCTCTTATTGAGCTCCTGGTATTTATAAAACGTGTATAATGCAGAGCCATGACAAGGGGGACATTTTGGTGGTTTCGCATGACCAAATCCTAGTGGAGGATGGTACACCAAGCCCAGTGAATGCAGTATAGCTAGACCAGCCCTCTAAAGCTGTGCTGTCCAATATGGTATCCACCAGCCACCTGTGCCTGTTAAAATTAAAATTGAAAACTCAATTCTTCAGCCACGTTTCAAGAGCTTAATGGCTATCGTGTTACACACTTCCATCATTGCAGCAAGGGTTTTTGGAAAGTGCTGCCCTAAAGAATCCTGAATTCACTGGGAAATTGTCCCAGCTGTCCACACTTGATCTCTGCATTTTCACCCAGGAAATAGGGTTCTGGGGTTACATAGTCTCTAGGGTCCTCCCGTTTCTGAGATTCTCATCTCAGGCACTTTTGCTCATACCTGGGGCCACATCTGCATGACAACTCTCAGAAAGGCTATATGGTGAGAAAGGCCGCCGTGTTGTGGAGAAAATATCTCGGAACTTATAGAACCTGAATTGAGTCCCAGCATCATCGGTGCAAGTTCCATAACCCAGGAAAAGTCACTCAATTACTTTGAGTCTCTACTCATTTATCAGAAAAAGGCACTGAGCTGAGTGATCTCCAAGGCCTGCTTTACTCTAAAAGGTTACTGACTTTTAGAAAGACCCCTTGATGCTGAGGTTGAATCAACCAGATTTTGGTATTGTGTAGTCTATGCTGTTTTCTTTGAAAACATTCTGAATTCTCACAACACCCATTCAAGGAAGGTGAAACTTATTACCATTTTCCTTTCCATGAAAGATTTGCAGGAATGGAGTCTGCCCTGCACCCATTTGGAAGACATGTGAAAAATTGCCAGGCAAGCAGCTGTTTTCAATATAAAGATTCTTAGCGTCTGTGTGCAGGGTATCAGAATGATCAAAGTTTTCACTTTTATTCCAGAAATTTGGGTGTTTTCTTGACTTACCATGTGAAAAATACTTAGTTCAGTATTTGAGTTTGATCTTTAGCTTGTACACTATGGCCTTTAATTTTAAACAAGATAGAACAAAATTGTTTTAGTCATTTCATTTGGAGGTTTTGGCATAAATGTACCCATCAGTGTGGTCTTTGTTCAATTGACATTAAATGATTAATTGTGGAATATTTTCATTTGGGGAGTTTATCTAGAACTTTAGAAGACCAGTGCTGAAATTCAGCAGAAGGGTCTATATACTCATTCAAATGATATCTAACGACCACTTTCTATATGTCAGGCACTATTCTAAAGGGTGAACACTCAGCAATGAACAAGAGAAACAAAAAGCTCTCTTCTAAAGGAGCTTCTAGTCTGTAATAGACTCTCTAGTAGAGTTTCCAAAGCATATTTGATGGAA